TTGCTGGAAAAATACTCTTTAGAGCTACTTCAAAATTCCCACTTCTTAATAATTATCATTATGTTGAGTAATTATTATCTAACAGTGATATTAATAAGGACTACTTATTGTGTGTTTGCTGTGTGTTGACTATGTACTTATAGCATGTTTACATTATGCACTATGCTAAGGAATTTATACATCTAAGCACACAATACTCTCAAAAACTGGTGATGTAGGTGTTATTACATTGATTTTACCAAGGAGGAAACTGAGGCTGAGGGAGCGGTTAAGAACGTCTCCTAAGGTTGTCACACAGGTCGTCGTTTGGGCAGCCTGGATTCAATACCAGATCTACCCGACTTTGGAGCCCGTGTTCTTAACAATTTTGCCTCATCAAATTCTTTTTGCAGATATTTAATCAGGAAATTTGGCTTTTACTCAATCTTATTAGCGAGATTTTATTTACTAACCAAAAGTCTGGCACATGTCCATTTATTTTATTTTATTTTTTTAAATTAAATCTTTATTGTTCAGATTATTACATTTGTTCCTCTTTTTTCCCCCCATAACTCTCCTCCTTCCAGTCCCCCCCCCCGCTCCGCCCTCACTCCCCACCCACTGTCCTCATCCATAGGTGCACGATTTTTGTCCAGTCTCTTCCCGCATCTCCCACACCCCTTTCCCCCCCAAGAATAGTCAGTCCATTCCCTTTCTATGTCCCTGATTCTATCATGATCACCAGATTATTTGTTCACTTGATTCTTAGATTCAATTGTTGATAGATGCATGTTTGTTGTTCATAATTTGTATCTTTACCTTTTTCTTCTTCTTCCTCTTCTTAAAGGATACCTTTCAGCATTTCATATAATACTGGTTTGGTGGTGATGAACTCCTTTAGCTTTTCCTCATTTGTGAAGCTCTTTATCTGACCTTCAATTCTGAATGATAGCTTTGCTGGATAAAGTAATCTTGGTTGTAGGTTTTTGGTATTCATCACTTTGAATATTTCTTGCCACTCTCTTCTGGCCTGCAAAGTTTCTGTTGAGAAATCAGCTGAGAGTCATATGGGTACTCCCTTGTAGGTAACTGAGTTTATTTCTCTTGCTGCTTTTAGGATTGTCTCTTTGTCTTTTGCTCTTGGCATTTTAATTATGATGTGTCTTGGTGTGGTCCTCTTTGGATTCCTTTTGTTTGGGGTTCTCCATGCTTCCTGGACTTGTAAGTCTATTTCTTTCACCAGGTAGGGGAAGTTTTCTGTCATTATTTCTTCAAATAGGTTTTCAATATCTTGCCCTCTCTCTTCTTCTGGCACCCCTATAATTCGGATGTTGGCACGCTTGAAGCTGTCCCAGAGGCTCCTTACACTATCTTGGTATTTTTGGATTCTTTTTTCATTTTGCTTTTCCGGTTGGGTGTTTTTTGCTTCTTCGTATTTCAAATCTTTGACTTGATTCTTGCGACCCTCTGGTCTGCTGTTGGGAGTCTATATAATATTCTTTATTTCAGTCAGTGTATGCTTAATTTCTAGTTGGTCCTTTTTCATAACCTTGAGGGTCTCACTACATTTATTGGCGGTCTCACCAGTCTTTTTGAGGGTCTTACTAAATTTATCGGCCGTTTCTAGAAAGTTCTTGAAAAACCTTAAAAGTGTGGTTTTGAACTCTATATCCAGTTGTTTGCTTTCCTCCATTTCTGTCATTTGTGACCTGTTTCTTTGTCTCTGCATTTTTTATGCTTCCCTGTGTTGGTAGAGTGGCTTTGTGTGCTAGGTGTCCTATAGGGCCCAGTGGCTCAGCCTCCCCAATTACCTGAGGTGGACATACTTGGTGCACCCCTTTGTGGGCTTTGTGCACAGTCTTGTTGTAGTTAAACCTTGATTGTTGTAGGTATCACTGGGAGGAATTGACTTCCAGGCCAATTGGCTGTGAGAATTATCTGTGTATATGGTGGGAGAACTTCTGTGCTGAAGACACCCTTATGAGGCAAGACTTGCTTCATTGGAGCTTTGGTGCTCACTGAGTCTGCCCCCTGAGTGTGTCCCTTATGGATCTGAGGAGTTGTAATCTGGATGGTCCCACTCTGACCACTGGGTATACTGGCTCTTGGGTCTAAGGAGGTGCTAATTTAGCCTCTGCCTGAGGCTACCCAGCAGGAGCTATGAGGAGATCTGCAGATTCCCCTTCCTTGTTTGGCATTTGGAGGTGCCCAAATGAGGCCCAGCTGTGAAGCAATGCAAGCTGCTGTGGGGCCTTGGGCCTTCTCTTGGAAGTTCTGGGTCTGTCTGGCCTAGTAGCAGTTTGTTAGGTAATTTTCAGATTGCAAAGGGCCAGGGCATTCATATGCAAAAGCCTCTGCCGCAGCTTGGGTGGGGCGGGGTCTCAGGGAATTAACAGGGCAAAGCAAGCAGCTATGGCTGATCCTTAGCCCTGCCCTAAGGGGCCCTGCGTCTCAGTGTCCCAGTAATCGCTGCAAGCACCTTTAAGAGAAAGCTGCCCTTGAGTTCCAAGTTCTGCCCGCTGCCAGACAGTCCAGTTTCTCCCTGTATGAGTCTAGGTCCCCAGAGACTCACCCAGAACTGGAGTTCAGAGCAGTCGGGGGCTTGTGACTCCCTTCCGATTCAAAAAGACAGCCGCGTCCTCAGTTTCCAGCCCTTGCCGTGTGTGCCTCCGTATCTCTGCGCTTCTGCACCTCCTCTGAGTCTCAGTGTGCTTTTCTCTTTTCTTCTAGTTGTAGAATTTCCACTCAGCCAGCCTTCCTGTGGTTCTGGATGATGTCCGTTTTGTCTTTTAGTTGTATTTTTGAATTTGTTGTGGGAGGCAGCAATTTCCGGTATTTACCTATGCCACCATCTTGGTTTCTCCCATGTCCATTTATTTTTCCTAGTTCTGGTCCTGCTACCTTGGGATCAGAATAAAACTTAAAAATGTCTTAATGGGTCTTAGCTTTGAACTAGGTAATGTGTGTGTGTGTGTGTGTGTGTGTGTGTGTGACAAATGCATATATTCAAGTCGTCAGCAAGTCTAAGGATGTGAAGTTTGAGACCAATGGAGCCCAAAGAGACTTTGCTCCAAGGTCTGGAGACAAAGATGCCCAGGACCATCCTGCATGACAGTGACCCACTATGAGTCTTCAGACAGAATCGGCAGAACCTCTGGCCCTCTGCCCCCTGTGCTATGGACATTCAGTATTTGGTATTTTCAATAAATAGTAGTGGAAGTTGGTAACACGATGGTTCTCCATAGATCCCATATGCCAGGTTCTGTGCTGAGTCAGACTCGCCACATGCTGAATTCTTACAATAGTTTTATGAAAAGGGCGCTTTTCTTGTTCTCATTTTCTATGAAAAAAACAAAACCAAAAAACAAGACTGGGAGAGGTTAAGTAACTTGGCTAAGTTACTTAAGTAACTTGGCTAAGTTACTTAAGTAACTTAGTAACCCAGCTTTTGTGTGGTTAAAAAAAGCGAATACATGAAAATCATGAGTTATTTATTTGATTGGCTCATTTGCAAAGGCTATTCTATCTCATTAAACCAACAGAAACTGTGGGTTGGCAAGGATAAGAACATCTTGGAAGTGAACGGCAGGATTTAGAAGAGTGACCTTTAAAAGCCGAAGCGGACCTCTCGGCCGACTTTACGTTGCTTTGCGTGTGGCATGTCAGGAAGATCCCCAGTAGGGAGCTTATAAGTCCGGTTGTATTAACACGCTGTGCTCTGGGTTTGCGTCTGAAAGGCCTTTCCTTTGTCTGAAGCAGGGCTGGCCTTGAGATGCTGTCCCCTGGCAAATAGGGCACCGTCTCCACAGCTGGTCTTAGCGCCGGGAACTCGCTCACCTGCAGTGGATGAGAATTTATTTGATCTTTTCATGAAATTCGGATTCTGTCTTATTTATGCAGTTCTGTTGAAGGGACAGGCACTGAATGTGGTTACTTTTAAGCAAGTTATTTTGTTTAACCAGGGGCCTATCAGAGTTCGGATATATAGGCAGCTTTCCAAAAATGTTGAAAGCAATAAACTTGTATGCATATGTGCATAACCTGTGGACACAGACAATGGGGTGGTGAGGGCCTGGGGTTGGGGTTGGGGCAGGAGTGGGCTGGAAGAGGTTAATGGGGGGAAAAGGAGGACCTGTGTAATACTTTCAACAATAAAGTTTAAAACACACACACAACCCCCCCCCCCCCCACACACACACAAAAAAACCCACACCACATTGAAAGACATAAATAATTTAATCCTCACATCTCTGAGGAGCAGTTCCTAAATTTACCATAATCTTGCAGATGTGCCAAGTGAGGCTTGGAGACCAATTAGCGCCTGTTCAAAGCCATGTTGCTGCGTAAGTGATGGGGCCTGAGCTCAGATGCAGAAGCTCAAGGACAGTGCCCTTTCCATTAGATCAGTAGCCACTTTTTGAAGGAAAAAAAAAAAAAAAAGCTCAAGGGGAAAAAAATACCAGCAAATTTTTAGAGTTCTGGTAATTTCTTTTCTCTAATCTCAACACAAATTCCCACATAAGCCAAGGACTGGCTGATTAATCAGTAAATGAAAGGAAGTGCTGGTCATATCGGTGGCTCATTACAGGTCTCTCCCTTGCAGTTCCCAAAATGGCTGGGATCCATTAGAAACTGAAGCCAGAGAGCGCTGTCAGCTGCCTCCCCTGCTTCTTGAAGCGGAAGCAGAGAGAGCAGTTTGAAAACGTCTCATTCACACACCAGGTTGCTATCGAGGTCTTTTTCATGTTATGATCAGAGCAGCTGCTTGTGTTTTTATCACTAGGCTGGTTTTCGAGATAAAATCAGCTTCTGCTTCTTGGCTGGGTGGAGTTGTGGGTGCCTGAGCTGGGGGATAGCAGATCCAAGCCCTCTTTGCTGGGGAAGTGTGGGTTAGACTAGTCGGGTAGGGCGGCGACACTGAGGTGGGCCCCATGTTTAATCAGCGTGCCAGTGAGGAAGTGCCCAGTCATCCAAAAAGGAAAAAGAAAGACTCAATTTTCCCTCTTCTCTTTCTGTTCCAGCTGAAGGCCAGACTTTGGAGCTTTTCAAAGTAGATCGAGGTCTCTCTCAGATGCATGGAGAGAAGTAACATTCTGCAAATTGCTGTTGGAGACCCCGGAACGACAAACCTATCTGGTTTCTATTCCCTGTGTTGAATGGCATTTGCTTCTGCCATTCAAGGATTCTGAACGTGTAACGAGGGATCCAGGCTGGGAAGATGCTGAGTTCCATCAAGTGTGTGCTGGTGGGAGACTCTGCTGTGGGGAAGACCTCCCTGTTGGTGCGCTTCACCTCAGAGACCTTCCCAGAGGCCTACAAGCCCACGGTGTATGAGAACACGGGCGTGGATGTCTTCATGGATGGCATGCAGATCAGCCTGGGTCTGTGGGACACAGCCGGCAATGACGCCTTCAAAAGCATCCGTCCCCTGTCCTACCAGCAGGCCGATGTGGTGCTGATGTGCTACTCTGTGGCCAACCATAACTCTTTCCTGAACCTGAAGAACAAGTGGATTGGCGAAGTCAGGAGCAACTTGCCCTGTACCCCCGTGCTGGTGGTGGCCACCCAGACTGACCAGCGGGAGATGGGGACCCACAGGGCCTCCTGCATCAGTGCCATCGATGGGAAGAGACTGGCCCAGGATGTGAGAGCAAAGGGCTACCTGGAGTGCTCAGCCCTTAGCAATCGGGGGGTGCAGCAGGTGTTTGAGTGTGCCGTCCGAACTGCCGTCAACCAAGCTCGGAGACGCAACCGGAGAAAGCTCTTCTCCATTAACGAGTGCAAGATCTTCTAACCTCCGAGAGACTTTGCCCAACGCTCATTTACTCACCCACCTCAAAGCTCATGGGGACAGGGAGAGCCAACAGCAAGGGCTGATGCTCTTTCTGGGTCCATCCCAAGCAGGGTTTGCTTTAGGATATAGTTTGTTGATGGGACTTGGTCACTGGATGGTTTCATTAAGTACATTCTGCAAATGAACTCCTCGTCCAGTCCAACTAAGCAGTCTCTTGAGGAGCTGTAATGAATATTCTATCTCCGGTTAAAAAAACTAAAATGGTCTCTATAACTTTGGACAGTGAAGTGAGTTTTCCAAAGAATCCTATATTTAAAGACATGTTTTATTTAAATGATAACAAAATGTAGAGCTCTTGTACATAACTAGTTTTCATGCTTGGGAACTCTTTTCCTACAGACTCACAAAACACACCCTGGTGTATGTGTGAAATGACCTTACAGGACTCTGCCGTATGTTCGGAGTGTTATTTTCACCTGAAGTAGTAACTTCGTTGAAGCCACTTGCCTACCTGATTTTACTAGGTGATCAAATTTTAAAAGGACTACCAACCGATCCTTGCTATTAGTTTCCCACCCAGCTGTTAACCAATTTGTATATCAAAGACATTCGATAACATATGCTACTTTAATACTGCCTAATGATTTTAAACAGTTATCTGTCTATTTTCCTGTAATTATATATAAAAAAGCATTTCTTATTTATGATACTACCTTTCACTCAGCGAACTCCCATTATGCACTAAGTATTCCTCTTTCATTTACCAAAACGGATGAAAGGAAAACCTTTTGGGTAGGGAATCTGACTGCTCCAAGTAATAGCAGCAGAGCTCGGAACAGGATTTAAAAATCTCACTTTCCTTTGGGAACCGCTGCACTTTGCCTGGGTTTTCCAACACTGGCTCCCGCCCGGTTGCAGGCCTTGGGAATGAGAGCAGGCTCAGTGTTCTGTATGCTGGTAATCTGGGGAATTTGTTACTTGAGCTCTTAACTGACCTGGAAGGGCAACTATAATTTATTAATTTTAGGATCTAATCAGAGTAATTATTAAGGTGTCTATGTACATATGTGTGTGTGTAAAGGAACACAGGTACACCTTACAGCTTTTACCGTTTCATCAATGTGAAGCACCAGAGTAAAATAAAACCAAAAAAAACCCCAAAACAAATTCCAAGCACAGGGAACAGGAAAACTGTATAGCAAATTTTCAGATAACAAAATCTTATCAGGGAAAGTCCTGAATAATGACTCCCACCTCAAACCGCATTCTATCTAAATAGTTTAAAAACAATGGCATCAATCATCTGTTAAAGCTGAGAACAGAAGACCGTGTTACTTGAGGAAGAAATAGCAAATGCTGGCACCGGATACATCATTTACTCACCTAATCCACTAAGACTCAGGACCACTCTGGACCACGTTTATTAAAGTGCATCATTGTTATGTTATAATGTGACCATTAGATACAAATGGTAAGGCACTTGGCGTAAATGACTATGATTAAACTTATGTTGACATAACCATGCCAATTGTTCAGTTTCCTTATGTGGTCAAGTCTTTATAGCTATAATCAGTGTTAAAATCAAATGTGTGCTCATCTCCACACTTTTTCCCTTCTCTCTCTCATCTGCATCCAGTAAAAGGCCCGGAACCTGGATCTTAGTCTTTGGGGCCGAGGTTCCCTCAGTTCCCGGGGCTGATGTATCTGCTTCCACCCAGCCTTCTCTAGTCCTCCAGTCCTGTGGCTCGTCCTTGCCTCTGTGTCACCTGTGTCCCTTGACTTGAGAACCCCTGTATCCAGCTCTCTGTATTGCACGTCCGAGGGTTGGAGGGCTTAAACCTGACCAGGCTGGGGAGGCGATGGGAGCTCACCTTTAGTATCCCTGTTGGTCCTTGTCCTTCTCATCACTGGTCTTATATAACGCACACAGATTCGCCTTCAGGACCGGTCTTTAGGGTGGAGACCATGTAGCTTGTTAGCAGGAGTGAATCTGTATTCACTAAAATGGGCTTTCCCCAAGCTTTCCTTCCTTTGTTGTTGAAGGGAGATGAGGGCAGGGGTACCTCTGAAATGGGAAAGCCCAGTGAGGGAAGAGGAGGTGATTCCATTTCACAGGAGGAAGGAAAGGCCAGGGAAGGCATAGTCACCTGGAAAGACACACCAATGAGCCTTCTGCCTGCTGGCAGGAGCGAAGCCTAAAGGATCTCCCTGAGAACCCTCACACTGAGAACAAGAATCTGTGTGTAAACCTTCCCCAGCGATGAGACCTGGCAGAAATCGAGGCTCATGGGTGTCTGTTTCCCCTACCAGACTGTATGTTCTTAAAGGCAGAGCCACCTCCTATGTGTCTCGATGCCCCCAGGGCCAGCACCGAGAAGACACCGTAGCCAAACAAACTTGTGTTGAATTGGAGAGGGGAAAGGCATGGGGCTGCTGTGTCGCAAAGTGGGTATGGGAAGGAAGCAGACCCCCGCTGGCCTTGCAGGGCTAAGAAGTGAAAGTAGGTCATTTTTGTTGGAATCCATGTAATGTAAGTTCTCCATGAGCATATACTTATGTTTGCCTGCCTGAACTCAGGCTCACGTTTCTTACACTTCAACACTTGCATGACCTTGCTGTAGGCTGGAGTATGTTGATTCTTAACTATTGCAAGTGGCAACATTAAATAGCTCTTAGTTTACAATAAAGAGCTGATTGGCGTGGTTGAGTTAGTCATCCTCTCCTTTTCCCCTTTATACTGACTATAAATGGGCAGCAGAATCTAGTGTGATGAAATCAGGCTGAATGATGAGAGACTTGAGAGCACCCTAACCATTACTGTTTGCCGAGTGCTTCGAGTGGGCCAGCGCTGTGCTCAGCACTAGGGAGCGCATCGTGTCACCACGTGGTGTGTAGGTGGCCGCTCTATAATGAGGCTGGGCCCACTGACGTGACAAGTCCAGGCCATACAGCAGCTGAGCGGCAGCACCAGGACAGGAGCAGGTCTGTCTGTCTCCAAAGCTCTGCTCAGAGCCGCTGTGCCCCACTTCCTCCCAGAGCAGCCCGGCTACATGTCTTTGCCACATCCGATCTCATGCAGCCTGTCGGCCTCAACCCACCAGTCAAGTGGCCTATCTTTTAAAATTACTTTTAATAACAGATCCCAAGTCTGAACTTAGTCCTCCCCTTTTCTTTCTGGCAATGAGAACAGGACCTCTCTGAGTCACAGGGCCCCATATTGGCCAAGGTCCCTGACCCAGCCCTTGGCTTTTTACATTTTTATTTAAATATATTTTTATTGATTTCAGAGAGGGAGAGGGAGAGGGAGAGGGAGAGGGAGATAGAAACATCAATGATGAGAGAATCATAGATTGGTTGCCTCCTGCACGCCCCACACTGGGGATCGAGCCCACAACCTGAGCATGTGTCCTGACAGGGAATCGAATGGTGACCTCTTGGTTCATAAGTTGACACTCAACCACTGAGCCATGCTGGCTGGGCCAACCCGTGGCTTTTAAGTAAAACTTCGTAGGTTGATTACATATGAATCGGCAGAGATGATATGCATCATGATTTGATGCTTTAAAAAGCTTGGAAAATATTCTCTTTTTCTTGTCTCACTTTCCTACCCCTCGGGTTTTGGATATTTCCTTTGGATGAGAGAGCAATAGGGAGAGCAGAACTGGGTTCTTTTCTTTAAGGAGCTTGTACCACGAAAGGGCACTTACCCAGCAGGAGGTGTGAGAGGATGACTCCAGTTTGGCACATTTGCAGGGTGATGATACGACAGAGGGGACAGGGATTCTGTGAGTGTTCCATCTTCAACGACTGCCAAGAAGACAGTTAATCTTATGGGCTGAGTCAGATCACTCAAGGGGAGTTGTTTTTCCTTAAGCTGTCATTCTCCCGATAAAACAAAGAAATGTAATCACTGGCTAAGATCTCAAGCAGTGTTTCACCCGAAAAGATCAAATAAACCATGGAAATTACTCGTTAGTTCACAAATAGTACTTGATTAAACCCCAAATCTACATTAACTACTCCAGTCGATTCTAAAATATATCCTGACAGCCCAGCCGGCATGGCTCAGCGGCTGAGCATCAACCTATGAACCGGGAGGTCACGGTTGGATTCCCAGTCCGGGTATGCAGGAAGCAGCCAATCAATGATTCTCTCTCATCATTGATATTTCTATCTCTCTTTTCCTCTCCCTTCCTCTCTGAAATCAATAAAAATATATTTAAAAATATATCCTGACATGGATTTAATACTAATGGTAATTAGAGAGCCATATGAGGCCACACAGCTGTGACATATTTTAGAGTCAGACAGTCTGGGTCTTGTGTCTTTCAGCCTCGGCTTCCCTATCTTAAGACAGAGACGATTCCTGGGTTACTCTAAGAATTAATTCAATAATGATTGTGGAAATGCCTTATATCTGTAAACTATTGTTCAAATGGTGGTGTTGATATGTTTTTGGTGGATTCCTATGCAGGTACATAGGCTGAATATAGTAGATCAGATTAGAATACTCTAGAACTATTGGGCCACATGACGGGCTGCAGAAGCAAGCTCCGTTTGTGGCAAGGTTAGGTAGAGTGAGATGAATAAAGCGACACATAATAATGGCAACAACTACATTTGAATCTTCACTGGTTCCAGGTCCTGTACTAGGTTCTTTATATACATCAGCTCATTTTATCTGCATAACACGTTCCTAAGGTAGATAAGTGGAGATATTTCCCTTGTACAGTTACTTTTCAAAGTGTCCCAATTTTACCATGTAATTTTGGCGTAATTGAACTTGACCAGCTAAAAATCATATGATGAATTGTATACGATGTCCATTACACTTGCTAATTTAGCTAGGAAGCGAGGATGATCCATTACACACCATAGGGGCTCAGCAGCCTTTTTGTGTGAGGTTTTTTTTTGTTGGTTTTTTTTTTGTCATTGTTCCTGGGAAGTCTCAAGTGGGTCATAGACCCTCATCCTGACTGGTCTCTGCTGGCTGTCTCCACTCCTCCCCTTTCCATTTTCCACCCTCACTGCCCCCTCTGAGCCTGGGAGGTTAACCCTAGGGACTGCACTATCTGGGATCACATCCTGGCTGCTGCCCACTTGTTTCTGGAAGTCAGAGGTAGGAGGAGAGAATAATTGAGTTTTTTTTTGTCCTACTCATTTTTTTTTAATATACATATTTTTTATTGATTTCAGAGAGGAAGGGAGAGGGAGAGAGAGATAGAAACATCAATGATAAGAGAGAATCATTGATCGGCCGCCTCCTACTGGGGGTGAGCCTGCAATGCAAGCATGTGCCCTGACTGGGAATTGAACCATGACCTGTTTCATGGGTTGACGCTTAAACCAGCCGTGGGCAAACTATGGCCCGCGGACCGGATCAGGCCCGTTTGAAATGAATAAAACTAAAAATAAAAAAAGACCGTACCCTTTTATGTAATGATGTTTACTTTGAATTTATATTAGTTCACACAAACACTCCATCCATGCTTTTGTTCCGGCCCTCCGGTCCAGTTTAAGAACCCATTGTGGCCCTCGAGTCAAAAAGTTTGCCCACCCCTGCGGTCTAATCACTGAGCCACACCGGCCAGGCCACCCTACTCCTTTCCTGCTTTGGTGATGCATATCGGTCAATAGCTGTGACTTGTTCCGTGAGAAAAGCTACAGCTCCTGCTGGGCTGCTTCTCCTTTTAGGCTCTAATTTCCACTGGGCTCTAGGACAGTATTTCCTCACCTCTCCCATCAGCTCTGGAAGAGATAGCGACTTCCTGCTGGTGCAGTGTTGGGATGCAGCAACATCCCCCACGTGGTCCCTAGCCCAGACCTCTACCAGTATTGCCTTCATTCAAATTCTTCACCTGATGAGATAAATGAAAGACTCTAAAGTATAAAAACAAAAATATGAAGGGAAGAGATGGAGACATGATCCCATACACTTTAGAACTCACAGAGTTCTATTTATGATTGACTATTGTTTTAAAAAATACAACTTGATAAAATTCCAAGACTAACAGGTTGCATTACAAACAGAAAACATCAGTCTGCTATATACAAAGAAATAAAACTCTACTCACACATTCCATCTGAAAAAAGAATAAGTGGCCCTAATAAAATAGTGAAATGAATAACCACAGAGATCCTAATAAAGTCAAAGATAAAGAAGAGATAAAAGACCACAAATAAATAAAACCTTCTTTATAACTTCAGCAAAGATACAATTTAGGAAAAGAGAAGAAAAGCAATCCAACATTCTTATCATTTGGGAAAGAAGGAAAACAGTATAAGGGTTGAGACATGAAAATATTGTCAAGGTCTTATGCGGTTGTGAGTGAGAAGAAGATAAAAAAGGCCAGGGCATACGCCCAGGTTTCTGGCTCAATCTCTCATCATTGATGTTGCTATCTCTTTCTCCCTCTCCCTTCCTCTATGAAATCAATAAAAAGTATTAAAAATAAAAAAGCATATTGCTGGGACAAAAAAACAAAACAAAACAAAAAACAAGCAAATTCTTCACCTGAGCCATCCAGAACAAATTTGGTTTCCTACAGGATTCGGACTGATACACTCACCAAATATTAAAAGTAGTCTCTATGTTCTGGCATTAAATGAGTATTCAAATTTCTACTGAAGAAATAGGCTTGCCAATCTGGGTAACTGCCCTGTTCTAGCTTCATAACCCAGGAAATATCACCCTTGACAGCTATTTGCTTGGAAGAAAAAAGAGTATATTGATTAATTCTAATCGGAATAAGCAAAAGATTATTTCTGGGATAGCAACGTTCAAAAACTGTAGGTCTTCTGTCTGGCTCGTGTGGCTCAGTGGTTGAGCGTTAACCTATGAATCAGGGAGTGGGCCTAAGCCGTCAGTTGGACATCATGCACTGCTGCAGAGGCGGGAGAGTCTCCAGCCACCGCCACTGTGCTCGCCAGCCGTGAGCCCGACTTCTGGTTGAGCAGCACTCCCCGAAAGGGAGCGCACTGACCACCCCAGGGGGCACCTCCTGCATTAAGTGTCTGCCCCCTGGTGGTCAGGGTGTGTCATAGTGACCGGTCATTCTGCCATTTGGTCTATTTGCATATTAGCCTTTTATTATATAGGATACCTCAAAGCTGAGAGAACCCTTCTGTTTTGTGGATGAAGACACTAAAATTTTGGGACTATTAAATGACTTGCCCAAAGCTCTTGAGCACCTCATTCTTCTTACCATTCTTTTGAGTGCTCTTTTCTCTAAGCTTCATGAATAGAGAGGTTTTTTGTTTTTTTAATTGCTTACTTTTCATAAGTTTGCTTTTCACTATGGGTTTCCTGCACATTGTAATTTGTAGTGTTGCTGCTTAGCACAAAGCAGATGCATTCGTATCTTCAGGGATCAACAGAGGCCAGTTCCTTGAATAGAAACAGATCTCCACCTTCTTATTTATTCATTCAACAGTTATAAAGCTCCTTAGGTTCTCTATGGGGGTGATTCAAAGAGAGTAGAGGGCCCAGTCACTAAACAGATAATGGCCTGAGCATATCTCCACCACTGGGTTTACCAGGTTGTTTCATAATTTTCTGTTTGTTTCCATTCCTCCATTGAGCCATGACCATCTTAGCACCAAGACTGCAAATAGCCTTGGTGAAGCTGAGGATCTAGTTAGGTAGGGATGGGTGTGTGTGTGCAGATAATAATTATGTAAACAAATAAGGTCAATGTGGATGGGTGATCAGAGCTATGAAGAAAATAAATTAGGAAAAGGGAGAGAATATTTGGTAGTTTATTTTCCTAATTGAATGATGTAGACAGACTTCATTTAAAAATAAACAGAAAAAAATAGCAGGCTCAGCGTTTTCTCTGCTGGCCCTGAGAGAGAGACACACATGTTTTTTTTACAATAATCAGCGTTCAATACCCAGGTCCCCCCAGAAGTGACTTCCCTGGGGATTCCCACCCACCTGCCTGTTGGGTTAGGGTTGCTCTAAGGAATGAATTAGCAAATAGACTGGGAGAGAAAAGTGACGTAAGTAACAGAAGCAGAGTGGCGCTGGGGCTTACATAAGCAAGTGGTTTCCAACGGATTCTGAAAACAAGGAAGGAAATGACTAGGGCTCAGGGTCTAGATAGGACTCAGAGTAGAGCCCAGAGCTTGCCTGCTGGGCACTGTGGAACGGGTCCAAGGCCCTGTGGGCATCCGTGGCGGCACATGCCCGAGAAGCAGCAAAGTTGTGGCGGCGAGGGCCCATCTGCTCATGCAGTTGGACGTGCTTGCCTTCTA